TACTTAAACAAAATAAATATATTAGGAAAGCTAAATTATTAAATTGATGACATCCATCCATCCATCCCTCCATCCATCCCTCCCTCCCTCCCTCCTTCCCTAGGCAACATAGACACACCTGTAGTGGTAGATCAGGGTTTGGTAATGCAAAGACTGCTGGTTCTTCTTCATCACCAAATACTGCCACTGAGTTGACTTCTTCAAATTCAACCTAACAGCCAAATAAAACATAGTAAATTTCAAAAAAAAAAAAAAAAAAAAAAAAAAAAAAAAAAGAAGAAGAAGAAAGAAAGAAAAGGGTAGTAAAACAATTCACATTAATATTTAAATTATAACTTGAAAGAGTAATGATCTCCAGCCTTCTTAGTATGATTGCACTGTAYGACCTTCACCTACAATGTGAGGGTGTTCATGCAAGCAAATGTAGAGTATGAAAGGTCTATTAATTTCAGTTTAGTTTGTTAAGGTGGATAGGCCATTGCTTCCCTCAATGCCAATTCTCTTGTCAATTTGGTCATTAGTCTCTCCAATTAGTTTGATCATCAGTCTAACCAATCAATAAGGCACTGGTGCATGCTTTACCAGTATGAGAGGTGTTATCATAATCACAATCCTTTATATACAGGGCAACAAACCTTCTTGTCTTCAGCATCAAAGCCTCCTTCCACCCCTGAATATATAACATTAGAAATTATATAGAATAATAAACACAAATATCATGATTATGAATTTATTCGAAATCATTCTAAAACATCTGCAATTTTTTTCAATGTGTAAGTTAGATTCAATCAAAGTTCCTTTATGCATAATGTATGTATATATACAGTATAATTATATATTTTTCTTAAAAGCAAATTATGTCAAGTATTAGATAGGTCCTATCAGGGGTGGGGGTACCCATTGACTGAATTTCACTGAGATCATAATTTCTGAATGTTTTCATGTCACTTTTCAAACAATTATCCCCCTCACAGGGCCTGTCAGTAATTCATTAGGGCAGTCTGTTGTTCGTCGTTAGTTTGTGGCTCTCATATTGCCCCTAGCAGGGCCTCATTAGAATAATAAATATTATGAATAAGATTAATACAAAACCTGTCAGTAATACTTGTAAATGAATAATGAACTGACCTATAGCAAGCCTTGTAGGCTTCTTTTTTGGGGGTGTATCTCTGGAGATTTCCTC